CAGCTAACATACTTTGGACATGTTGTCAGGAGAGACAAGTGCCCGGATAGGGCATCATGCTTGTACAAGAGCAAGGCCCTCAGTGGGTAGGTTGCTTGTCCCTTCAGCGGATTCAAGCACAGGGACAATTGTGAGCTTGGTGCAGGGCTGGGCAGTGTTTCGTTTTGCTGTGCAAAGAGTTGCCATAGGCTGGAACCGACTCGACTCAGGGGAACCTAACAACTTCTTCATTGTAAATACCTTTTTTCAACAACTCAAAAGGCGACGATGCACATGGACTTCACACATGGAACACACAGAAATCAAATTGACTACATCTGAGATGTAGTTGGAGAAGCTCATGTATCAGCAGCTAGTACCAGACCAGGGCAAGCTGTGAAACAGATGATCATGACTGGCCCTACCATGCTATTACACTCTCCATCCTTAGTGCTTACTGTACTTAGTGCTTACTATCTTATGGATCAAGGAGTAATATGGTACAAGATATTTTATTCAAAAAATCTTATTTAGCTTGCCTTAATAGATTTCTCATTTATCCAACATGTTTTATGAATTATTGACATCAGGAATTAACTTTGGCAAAAACATAATCATTTAAAGAAGTGTGTGTATAAATATGTGTGTGTATGTATATATGTATTCTCAGTACTTTAAAAAATGTGTGTTCTTAGAAGGAAAAATTGAGGGTAGTTGTTCCTCTCAGATGACCTCTATGCTCAATGAAAGAGGCAGCAAAGCCCTTGGGGGAAGGAGCTAGCCTTATCCCCAGAAGAGACAGATGAAGGGAAAAGTGGGCAGGTGATTCGTGGGACCTGCTTTTCCCTTCATGCCTCACGGGGGTTAATTGAACCTTGAAGCCGTGCGTTAATCTGGCTGTCATTAGGGCTAGACCTTTTTTTTGTAGGTACACATCCCATCTCATCCCCAACTCAATATTCATTGGAATTGCCAAGTGGTTTTCCAAACTAAAACTCTCCAACTCAAGCCCTCTGTGGGGTACAGTACTCTAAACTGCCACAAGCACCCTAAATGTGTTTCAGCAACATACTTCTGTTTTCTGGAGACAATGCTTAACTCCAAATAGCAGTTGCAGACTCTTTGGGAGAATGTGGCTAGTAGCATGAAAATTTGGATGCAGACAGAACCCCATGACGAGTAGTTCTTTTAGTTTCTTTGACTTTAGTAAAAGGTGGTGTGCTTTCTGAAAAGGATCACATTAGAAGGTCCTTGATAGATTGGAATTAAAATAGAAGCAGAATTTAAAATCTTAAAAGAAACCAGGCTTACTGGTTGGATAGACTGGTGGGACCCTTCAGGCCTGGAACGGAATTCGCCTCTGACCCAGAGGGCAGCACTCACCCAAGGACAAAGCTCCGAGAGTTAGAAGAGTAAGAGGAATGGAAACGGAAACCTGGGGAGCAAATGAGACATGTGGTGGCACACTGAGGATCGCAAAGGCGAGTTGAGTCAGAACGTAAAACTATGAGATGCTCATAGACCTTCACCTAATTCACAGGACTGTTCCTATCCAAATGTATTAAATTCAGAAGCAGTAATTGGAGCTCAAGAGACCTAGGTTCTGAACTATCAATAATCAAGGATTACTTTATAATTCCTATTTGTCAGTCAAGAACTCATGCAACAAGTTTTTTGACCTGAGTCAGAATCAGGTTTGGGTTGGGTTTTGCTTATACATTATGCAAAGATGGAGCAGTCTGCTCTAATATTTTACAGTCTGGGTAACCTTATGGGGCCATTCTATTCTGTCCTATAGGCTTGCCAAAGTGGAATGGACTTGATAGGCAATGGGTTTGTTATTACCCACGATCAAGTTACCTATAAACCAATGTCCCAACAATGAATATGGAATTTACCCAGTGTTACTGGGTCGCCTCAAATTTATGAGATTAGGGGACAATAATACATTTGACAATTAACTCAAGCCAATAGTGGCAATTTCATTCATTTACT